TATAAAAAAATGATTTATATGACACGTAAAAAATATTGGCCAAATTGATTTCTGACAAGCGAATGAGTTACGAGTTAATAGAATGAGATATAATTCAACAACTACGTCTAAAAATTATAGAAAAATTCGCGTACAAAAATATTAAATTAATAACTTCGTTAGTGAAGTTACAAGAATGCTTACTGAATGCTAGAAAGGAGAAGGAACGAAGATAAAATCGTCCAGGATCCTCGAAATCCTCCAAAAAATGTACATTTCCATCGCGTAATACCGTTTATCGAGGGGCAAAATTATTTTCCGATTTGCATTCACAATTTCAAAATTGATTGTAAACGAAATTTCTCTTTATCTCTCGTTCTCATTCTCCTGCAAAGGAGTCCAAAAGGTGGCTTTTCCCTCTCTCCAATTTTTCCCCAAATTTCCAAAAGCTTGCCGAGTCCAAAGTCTGTGGAAGAAAGTTTAAACGAGAGGCGGTGGTGAGTTCAACAACGTCGTTGCACGTTCGTCTTTAACGAGGGGGAGGAGAGTGGGGGGAGGGGATGTGTGGAAGAAGAAGAAGAAGAAGTAAATAGAAAGAATTTTGACCACGAGAGGGGAGGAATAGCCTCGGCTGCCAAGAAAGAGACTCTGACGGACGAAAAACTCGTTTGTCTTTCTTCTGTCCGCTTCCTGCGCTTTTTCCCCCGGTTCTTGGCATCGTCGTTCAACCGTCGTCCGAGGATGTAAATGAACAGCGGGCTCTTTTCCGCTCGCGAATAAGCGGGGGGAGACAAACGTTATTTATGCCGACGTAATATCGCGGAATTTATTCGCGAACTCTCACAAAGGATCCTTTAACGCGATATATATTTTGTTCAGGTTTCGGCGAGAGATGGAATAAATCTGTCTGGGGAGATTCTCCAATGCTTTAAAATGTTTCTGCGCGTCGCACCTCGACGGGGAACGGTTTCGTGTGGATGTAAGGGACACGCCAGTGAATATGACGTGAATATAATAGAAAACGAATAATTCTTAACTTTTGTATATTGTGAATACGAAAGGAGAGATAACAAG